GTCTAGCTGTGTCTTTCCCCTCATATACCCAGAAAGAAGCACAGCTGCCTCCCCCTGCTGCAGAGAGAAGCTGTGGCAGTGCTCTATTCTCCATCATTTGTGCTGTTCTGGACCAACCTCCCCCTGCCCCCAAACCTACTGTAGGGACATAAAAGTCATGTGTTTGTAAATCCCCACGGTGCCCCTCTGGTTTATTACTTTTCAGAGCCAAAGCAATGCAAACACCCCTGCCTACTGACTCCTTTTTTCTCCTTTACTTTGTAGCCACAGATAGTAGCAAATCCACTTGAACCTCAAAAATTTTGCTTTATAATTAACATCAGGAATTACCAGTCTTAAAGTATCAGACCTGCTAATAAGGTCTGATACCGTCTGCTTTGTCTCTCTGCTACACTGAGACAAATTACAAAAAAGCTTTTTCGCGTCCATCAGCCTCACTCTGCAGCTGTAAACACAGTAAACTGCAGAGCAGGGAACATCAAGAGAAGAACTCAATAAAAGGTAACAGTAGGAAGAAAAATAAAACTTAAAACCAGCAGATTAAGAAGCAAAGGGATGAGGAGGAAAAACACTAGACTGGAAGACAGGCCAAGCCCTACTTCCAGCAAAATTAACTGAGGAAGTGTGATAAAAACCCTCCACCCCTCACTCCTAGAACTTTCCACTTGAGAATTCACCTAAATACACAGACAGGAACTGCAGCTAGCAATGACATGAACCTGAATAAATGTCACTCACCACAGCCCTCACTAAGGTGAAGACAGTGAACAGAGAGAGAAATAAGAGTTTGTATTTGCCTACCAACAAAGTCTCTCCAGAGCAGAGGAACACTGGCCAGAGCAAATATTATGACCCATATATTTGGATCTCCATTTGAATTAATCAATGCACTTCAACTGGACTAGACCAGATCCATCCAGCCACAGCACACCAGTGGATCACCTTGAAACTATGCTGATCACGGGTTTGCTTAGACCTCTACTCTGATGAGCTCTGCCTTGCACGTAATACCAAGACCTCTTGACTAAAAGACAAGAAAGAGTTAGCAGTTTGAACACACTTGTCAGCTGTATCCTGTCAAAACCCCAACACCCCACCTGTAAGAGCATAACTGCAGCTGCCAGCAAGCTCCAAAGTGAATGGGAAGTTCCAACTGTGAGCTGGTGTGGGGTTTTAACCAGACCACTTGCACTGGCAAGCCTTTCTAAGCATTGCAGATTAAGTACGTTGTGCAATATTTTTTTTTGAAACAGAACTTGGGTAATAAAATTACTTCCTCTAGCTGGCTTTGAAGTGGAGAAAAAACGCTGCAAGAACAAGAACTCAATTGGCTTTTAGCTGCCTGGCAAATGCTCTAATAAGAAAGCCCGATGACCTACATTCACAAGGCTCTGTACTAAACCACTATTACAAAATCCAATATGAAGCCTGACCATGTTTAAGTGTTTTCCATTAGCAAGCAGCAGTATCTTGTTAGAGAAATATGAAAACATGTTATTGTCTTTAGCGATGATGATCTTAATTAATCCTCTAAATACTATTCTGAAACATGTCAGCGTAGTCATTCCAGACTGCTTAAGCTCCCAAGGCTACACGAAGACACCAAAACCTCTGCTTCTCAGTAGGATGCATTGGGATGTTAACAGAAAAAGAAACTTCTTAAATATTCTCAAACTGTGAAAAACTGAATTCATAACAATTTACATCTCTGATGCTCTTCCAACAACTGACAGAAATGCACTGGTTCAAAAACTCGGGCAAAATCTAAGCTAGCACCAGAACAGCTTATTGCAACTCAGTTAACACACCACTGAAATATTTCCTCACATAAGGACATCAGCTCTATCAGCCAGCTAGTCAGATAACCTGACACAGACGGGTTTGAGTTATCCTGGAAAAGATGTCATTACATTTAACCCTACTGTGGTAACTACCCCCAAAAAGAAACAGAGTAAAATCAGCAAGTGTTTAAAGGAAACATTAAGTTAGTCCTTCACTCTACACCCTTGTATTTGGAAGAGTTTGATACATTCAGCTTCAATTCACATTAGCGGATTCCAAAAACAATGAGCAACACAACTCAAGGAGAAATGCCCTATTTTGTAAAAAAAAAAAAAAAAAAAAAAAAATTAAAAAAAAAAACAAAAACAAAAACCCACACTTTCAAAAATGTACTATAAAGCAGGCAACCAGACAAAACAAGAAGGATATGGTCAAAACAGACAAAACAGAACAGGAAAGATGGAAACACTGGGACAAAAAAAAATATTCAAGTAGTAATTCTCAAAGGCTCAAATTACCATTACAAGTCAGGCTCAGAAAAACCCAACTGCCCACAGTGCCTTCAGGAACACAAGTCTGCCCAGCTGGGGCCAATGGAATGTTGAAAGTACCTTATGCTTTTAGTGATGGCAGTCACAAAACAGATTCATGTAACCAAGAGAGAAAAAAAAAGGGGGGGGGGGGAAGAAGACATTTTAATTAATTTCTCCTTAATTTACTAAAGCTCACCTCATCCTAAATGCAGAATAAAAATAGGCCCATGTGAAATCACTGCCTTTCAGATTGCATGAAAAGATACTACAGTTGAGGAGGCTTAAAAGAAGGTTTTATTTGTCTGAAGAGCACAGCAAGAACATGGATACAAAGCTAGAGTCAAATTAACATGGAAATACAAAGAGATGCCTGATCCGCCGGGACTGAATTGTGAAGGGACTACACATTCATCTCCGAGTACATAAAACCTCCCAGCTCTCTGCAGCACTCATCTGATAGCTCCAAGTACAGATTTCAGCTAAGCAAGCTGCAGGCATCCTTCCTAAACCAAAAAGACACTTGCTACAACACACAGGTTTAAAGAAGTAAAAAGTCAAGCAAACACCACCTGGGAAATAAATTCTAAGTCCAAGTACTCTTCTCTTTCTGCTGTCTCTCCCCAGAGAAGACTAGGGAGAGTTCTTCATTACAGATTAAAGTGGTAAATTTGGTTCTGTATGTCCTCTGTACTTGCATGAGCCAAGTTTTCCCTACTTGAACCTTATGTTTCAGGATCAAACCACGTGCTATCCATCTATCAAATGGGTGATTTGTTTGAGACAGCAGATTCAAGATACTGAATGAAGCAAACCAAAACAACCAGAAGACACCGGCAAAGAGCTGTGAGGCCACCCAGAAGTGATGGGCTCTCCTCTGAGGAGGAGGGAGAGGCATCACCATGGACAGCTCAGCCACCGAGCTCAACCGGAGCCACCACGTAAACAGGATGGATGAGTATATCCCAAATGGAACTCAGAAACTCCTCACATAGCAAGGAATTCCAGCTGCAACACTATATCCAGCTGCACTACTTCACCTTAAGTTCAGGAATACGGATGGTTTGAGCAAAATTCATGGAATGCTGATGGAGTTGCCACAGGGGAATTCTAACACTGCAAGTTTCAAAGCCAGCAGTGTAGAACGTGAGCAGATGAGTTAAGGTTTGCTCACAAGGACACTTCTGCCAGCAAGGCTACAGCACCACAAATCTCTAAAGCAGGTACATTACAGCACCAATGGAAAAATATCATTCATCTTAACAAAGCAAATCTAAGTAGAAAACCTGTGTTCATCCATCAAGCATCAGCTGCTGACAGAGGTACAATATCAAACTGGAGTGACAAATGTGATACAACATGAAAAATGCCATTTTTTCATTTCTAGGAGGCTACAATGCTCAACACCAGCAGAGTTCAGGGTCAAGTCTGCCCACCTGTAAAAGCATAGAGACAGCTCTGAATAAGCTGAACCCTTTCACCCAGCAATCCAGCAGCCTGGAGCACTTAGTGCCAGCAAAAAGGAGCTGCTTGAAATCAGTTTTACATAGTACCTTCTCAGCCATAAAAGCCTCTAGCTGTAATAATACCAGGCTACCAACACAGCAGGGGTTTTTTGGCTACTTAAGTGCATATCATAAGCCCTGTATATACACTGCAGTGCCAAAAAAACAAGCTAAAACAAAACAAGGCAGACACACATAAGTTTCAACACCCAAGTTAGTTATTTCAATAACTCTGCCTACACTGACCCAATTGTGTTTCAGCTCTGCTGGGAACTCACTTAGACGCAGTTCATTAATACTGTTATGTTTTATTAGTCTGGATCATAAAAGTTATTTCGAAGAGAAAGAACGAGGGGGTTTCAAAGCACACCATAGTTCTTACTCTCCTATTTACTAGGAGCACATATCACTCAGGAACAGTCGCTGGGTGCCATGGGAGGCGATTTCCAAACCTGCAAAGCAGCCTCACGCTTTGGCTACTGATGCTCTTTGGCAAGAGCTGCCCATGATACCCGAGGACTTTGCCAAGCTCCCAGAGAGTTCAACACCCAAAAAGAAACCCCAGCTGAGCGATATACGTAGAAAAACTGTAGTTTTCTACCCGCAAAGACCAACCATTTCTCCAAAGTTAATCATCTTAAGATTTAAAGCACCATGCCAAGCAGCAAGCACACAAACGCCATCGCTGAATTATTTCCCTAAAAGAAGCACAAACAGAACCAGAAAAACGAACTAGGTGAAGCATTTTTTTTCTCTTTCTGGTAGGATTAAATGACTTTTCAAAAGCAAGCATTTTGTCTGGCCGTGCAGGCATCCAAGGCCCACAACACAAAAGCAGGTAAGCAACAAGCACCTGAAAACTTAGTCACCACATTTTCTGCGCTCATTACCCGTAGAGTTATGTAGATTTCGACCCAAGCTTTAACACTTTGACACGAACGTTTTAGCCGGACTCCCAAGGTAAATCCAGGCTCTCTCGGATCCAGGCAGCCGGCACAGGGACCGATGCTCGGCCGCGTCCCGACTCTGTTTAAAAGCACAAAGCAGCAGCAAAGCCCGAACCTCTCCGGAGGGGCCGGCTCGGGCCACTCCGCCCCGCGGTCTGGGCTGTCCCCGGCCACCCCGGGCGCTCACCCTGCCGGCTGCCCGGGCCCGGCACCCCCGGCCCCGCCGCCGCCCCTACCTGGCCGCAGCGGCTTGGTGATGCTCAGCACCAGGAGGAAGAGGAGGAGGAAGGTGCCGCTGTCCGCCTTGGGCACCATTTATCCTCCGTTCATCCTCCCCCGGCACAGCGCCACAAACCCGCGGGGAGGGACGCGCGGAGCGGCGGGAGGAGGGGCCGCCGCCGGGCCCGCAGGGGGCCCCGGTCCGCACCGAGGTTTTCCCTTGCCCTCCCTCCGCCGTTAGCCGCCGCCCCAGGCGGAGCCGGCGGCCCTGGCTGCGGCGGGAGCGGCGGGAGTGGCGCGGGTCGGGCGGCCGCGCTGGGGCGGCTCGCAGGGCTCCGCCGGCGGACAAGATGGCGGCCGCGCCTCCCCGCCGCCGTGCCCGCGCC